GTAGCTGTTCGATATCTAAATCAAGAATTGCTAGTATTCAAAAACATCGAATTCCAGTGTCTAGAATAATCCAAAACACTCTACACTTTATCACAGGATTTCCGATTAATATCAGTTATTATATCAAACACTAACTAAGTCATCATCCACTGGGTTACAGGGAATATAACAGCCAACCTTGCATGTGACCTAGGGTTCAATCTCCGGCCACCAACGCACTCCTTTGCATCATTAAGCCAGTAATAAGACTGGTAAAGGGGGAAGGTTGGGCATAAGGTTTGCAACCCCACTTCATAAAAATAAACACCACTGCAAACTGAAACTTCAAGCCTGTAGATTGAAAGCGCCCTATGTTCCACTCATAACGTGCAGGAATGAAAAGAAACATTTCACTGTAGAGAATTGGTCGATCTCTGTTGACATATATACGAGCTGGTATAGCAAATCAACGCAGTTAAATGTTATCCAGTAGCACAACTACCTAAGATAGAAAATTCTAGACCACAGCAGAACACGAACCAGCAACCGCCGAACAAATAGTTCAGCGTTTTACCAGATGAGCTATGTATGATTTGGACTAAATTTTCATTCTTATTCACCATTCATTAGATCAATAACACATTGCACACAAAGAACAAGATTCGAATTATTCTAATAGTAATCTCTTTTCAGTACCCCAATATGATTCACAAACTTGGAACGCATGACATCAAAAGCACTTTCAGCAGCCAACTGCAGACTTTCAATAATACTGAAGATTATATGCCTGTCTGTTAGAGAGAGGTGTACATGAGAAATTTGTTAACATCTTGAAAGCCCTATACAGAAACACCTCAGGTAGAGTGAGGGCATACAACCAACTATCACCACTGTTCCCAACCAACAGTGGGGTTAGACAGGGTTGCCCAATCTCTCCATTTCTCTTTAACTTTGCCACTGATGACATTCTGGAGTCAGCTCTGAAGGATGTGCGTGAAGGTGGTGTAGATCTGCTACCTGGAGATAGACTTTTCGACCTCGAGTATGCAGACGATATCGTCTTACTGTGCGATAGCATGCAGGCTACCCAAATCGCACTTAATCAGTTGGCAATCAGTGTCTGTAAGCATGGTATGTGCTTTGCACCGTCTAAGTGCAAAGTACTGTTACAAGATTGGCAGGAGCCTGTACCTGCGCTCACTCTTGCGGGTGAACCGCTTGAAGTTGTTGATATGTTTGTGTATCTGGGTAGTTGTGTGAGTGCTGGCGGAGGGGTGATGGATGAGATTTTCAACCGTATAATGAAGGCTACGGTGGCATACATCAACTTGAGCCACCTCTCGCACTGTCGCGACGTTAGCCTGGCTGTCAAAGGTCGGGTACACAATGCTTCGGTGCGGGCTCTTTTGCTCTACGCCTGTGAAACCTGGCCTCTCCAAGCTGAGTGTGTCCGGCGACTCTGCGTGTTCGATCATCGCTGTCTCCGTAGGATTGCTTGCGCTCGATGGCATCATCGCGTGAATAATTCTGAGGTTCGGCAACGTGTGTTTGAACACAGTGGAGATCACCATTCATTGAGTGTCGTCATCTGGAAACACCAGCTCCGGTGGCTTGGACATGTGCTGCGAATTTCATCCCAGAGGCTTCCGTACAAGTCTCTATTCGGTAGCCCTGACACGGGATGGAAAAGGCGGAAGCGTGGTCAGTCCATGACGTGGCGTCGTGGGATGAAGGATATTTGTGCTAGATTAGCATCGGTTGGTGCGTCACGACTCCCTGGTTGGGGTCCGCGAGATAACTCGAATCGATGGCTCGAAACGTTATCGGATGTGGCCAAGAATCGTAGTCAATGGTGAACGTGTTGCAATTTCCTTATTTCTTCCCTTCCCGAAAAAAGGGGACGAATGCTGTTTGAACATGTGATGTATACCTTTTTCCTTCCTGATGAAGTTTTTTTCTCCGTTCTCCAACCATATTTTTACTTTTAATCTATGTTGTTTTATTATTATTGTGTGGTGTATCTTTCTTGGTGCCCTACTGTACCAAGTTTTTTCTGCGTTTAAATAAATAAATATGCCTGAAAAGATGAAGCATCAAGGATCACTAACAGGCATCCCACCAGACAACAACCTACTGCCCAACATATATGAAGAAGGAAGATGGTGTGGACTGGACATACACTGAGGAGACCTTCAAGTAGTACCGCACACCAAAAACGCCCTCGAGTGGAAAGCAAGTGGGAATAAACTAATTGAATAATCGAAAAAGATATGGAGATCTCTTGTGATCAGCTAGTTGAAAATGACGACATAAAACCAAGTGGAATAGATATGTTACACGGAAGCCCCATTTTTCACTCAAAACGCATAAATGAATGACAACAATAATCCTCGCCGATTAGACATTAGGTAGTAACCATTTTCATACGTGCGCGTCGGTGGCGAAGTAGTAGAATGCTCGCCAACCACGCCTCATGTGGTCTGGGGTTCGATCCCCGGCCACCCACGCACTCCTACTTTACGTCGTTACGCCAGTTAAAAGACTGGTAAAGAGGGAAGGTTGGGCATGAGGTGGCTAGCAACCCCATCCTGTAAAAATAAACACCACTGCTACCGAAACTTCAAGCCTCTAGCTTGAAGGCGCCCCATGTTCCACTAAGAACGTCCAGTCCTTCAGTCAGTGCAGACTGAATTCTATCAGTCAGGTTTGCAATACGGACACCATACCAGCCAGTGGCTCACCACCACCCTGAAGTTTTGTTATTCGACATTTGCAAACAATCAATAGGAGGCTCTGTGTGACTTAAGCTCCATGCTTTTTAGCACTCGTCATCAAGGTGTATGAGTAATCTTGCAGAAACTCAGTATCATTGCAACTGACAAGAGTAGATCGTGTTGACCAGTGCTAGTAGAATGGCTTTTAATCGTATTATAACTGCATAGATCTGTATATAATGCTCACACTTTGAGGCAAACTAACAATCCTTGTAATATAATCAATGCTCAATCAGATAGATAATCAATAAATAAGTGAGCAGAAAATGCAGAATTAACTAACGAACAAACTAACAAAACAAACAGAAGTCAGTGAAGATTTCATGTATACATCCCAAAATTTGTTTATGTTGGCATATTTCAAACGATGAAGGTGTACATAGACTCCTCCACACACATACACACACAACTAGGTACACAGGTGCGTATATATATATATATATATGTTTCCGAAAGGAAGTCGAATAGTGTTTGTTATTATTATAAATTCAGTTGGATTTTAATTTATCTTTATTATTACTATTATTATTATTGTTATTATCCACATCATCATTATGTAAAGCAGCCGAGAATAGTGGGTAGTATGTGATGGTAGTGGGGTGGTTTGGGGTGGGGTGGATTAAGTTGGTTACGTCGTAAATGAAAAAGGAGTAAGTTTATGCCACAAAGAGGAAAGTTAGATTAAAAAAAAAGGAGAAGAAGGAATTATTCAAATGAAAAGTGTTGTTTCTCAATGCATACCACCCACTCCTCGTAATGTGAACCCCAACCGCCCCCACTCCACTCGCCACTCCTTATCCCGCTGTGTTTCTTTAACACTTAGCGAAATGAAGAGTAATATTTGAAAATACAGACAGACAAACGTACAAACAAACAGGAAATACAAGAGGAAAACCGGAAAATAGGGAAAAAAGGGAAGCAGGAAATGGGGAAAGAGACACGCACTTATAATGAAAATTGAAATGACATAATATAAAATACCCAAAGAAGAAGAAGAAGAGCACGAACAGGAAGATGGAAAATGGGAGTTAGAAGCGATGAAGAAAGGAATGGAAAACAGCTGAGAAGAGAAGAGAAAAAAGGCAACTTTTCTTTTCGAGGCAAAAGGATCTATCTATTTTTAGAGTGGGGAAAATAATTTTTATAAAAAAGAGAAAACACATAAAAACAGCAGTAAAAACAAAAAAAGTCAAAAAAAAACTAACAGAATTTTACCCAATATAAATAAAACACCCTTGAGGCATATATTTATTTATATGCATGTCTGAAAATGTTATTTATATTTAGGGGAAAAAAAACTTAAAGGAGAAAAGAAATGTAGCCTCATGTACATACACTACAAGTTATTGCTGACTTGCTTTCGTCCCACTTCACCCCTCCTCAACTTCTCGCGCCTACCCATCCACTCACTCAGTCGTTCTACGATTATCATCAGACCTCGAATATTCACAGATGGGATTACCGCCGCATCTGTTATGATGCAAGTTATAATGATCTCTGTTACCATTGTAAAGAGGATGATACATGTATATCTCTTGTCTGTTTGTGCGTATTTGTCTGTTACTCAGAGTACGTAAAAAGGAGAAAATCTTGGAATATTGAACATTGAAAACATGAAAGATGTAATTCAATTTCAAGGTCACATGTATATGTATGATGACGCATATGTTATGTTTAAAAAAAGCGGACAAAATAAAAGGAAAAATTATGAACGAATGAACGGAAATTAAAACAAACAACTTCATTATTATTTGTTGGACGTTTAATCCCCCTATCGTGTCAATTACACGTTGAATTGAACTACTACTACTACTACTACTACTAATATATCTCTGTAAGTAATATGTAATGACAGCAGACTGACAATAAACATGATGCAGACAGAAAATTATGATGGGGGATTCCCACACATGATATATTACACATGGATTAGTGATCATTTCAATGCACACACACACACACTTATGCATAACCGGTTAAATAATCCATACAAGATTATCATGAAAGGAAATCAATCATGAACTAAAGTATCATTGTGTAAAGGAATAAATACAATAGCGAAATACAGCAGAAACTATTGTCTTTGATGAGATAGGCGATAGCATTTAGATGCAATACAGTTGGTTAGATTGAATAATAAAAATACAACAACTAAAAGTCAATCTGTACATTGATAAAAATTGCAAACAGTCCGTGAGAGAATAGAAATTTTTCTCCATAGAGAGTCATAAATGAACAGTGAGTCAGACAGTCAAAAAGTTAGTGAATTAGGTCCTCCTCTTCCTGTCGATGTTTTATCCACGTATTAGACGGTAACAGCAAAATGTTGACAAGTCAACGTCAAAGCAGAAGAAGAAGAAAAAGAAGAAGAAGACTAAGTAGAGGGCGGAATTCAAACAGGGTACAAAAGGGATCATGTGTCTGTGATTTTTATTGACTAAATGATTGAAGGGTTTCTCGACTTCCTGTCAATGTCTCTTTCGCCCTCTCTCAGTAGTATACAAATAGAAAAAGACAACTACATTGAATACAACATTTTTTTTTATTACCTAAATTGAGTATGATTAAAGTTCAGTTCTTCATACACATGGAAGCTACAAATGTTGTACGCACGCCCTCTCACACACCCACACACAAACACACACACAAAAGGTAAGAAGACGAAGTAACTCAGTGAAGGAAGTTATATGTTCAACTAGATTACATACATCTAACATATAAGTAATAATAATCATAACGATAATGAGATGAGCAGTTTTCCAATTGGCATCACCGTTATTGACATCATTATCACATACTAGAAAACAGCCAAAACTGTGTTAAATTCTTGTCCAGAAAGAGAGATAGAGAGAGACTGAAAAAAAGGGGGTATATCATGAAAAATATATTTAACATTAATCGTCCTGCCTTGTTTTCTTGTTCGCTAACTCGCTCGCTCGCTCTCTGGCTTCCGAGCTTGTATGTCTGTAGAAAAGAAGTTGAGAGAAATCAAGAGAGAAACCCAATATATTTTCAACATGATCTTATTAATTTAGCTTCTGTGTCCTCCTGCCGACGAGTACCACTACTAATACTACTATTGCTATAAGATACACGTTTTCCTCAGTGTCAGCAACGCGGTGTCATCTAACTGCTGCCATCTAACTTTATCCTTTGCAGCCCTTCCACGCAATACTTTCTTCCACTACTCTTAATCCATTAGAGACAAGGAAGAGTACACTATCTATATTATCATTACTATTATTATTATTAATTTTATAAAGAAGGAATACTAGTATACTTATTATCATTATTATTTTTACAATAATACTCCATAAATTAAAATATATAGTGTATATATATATACTTTTGTAATATTATTAGTAGTAGTATTAGGAGTAGTAGAGGTTGAAGTGGCCGGTGATTCGGGTCGTATGGAGGTCAGGGACAAAGGGTAAAGAAAAAGGGTTACATCATCAACATCAGCATCAACATCGACATCATCTTGGAGGAAATACATGAGAAAAACATTTGTGAGGTAAAATTTTCTACACATATTTGTATATATATACGTATGTGTTTGTATATATGCAAATGTATATTATCAAATACATTCATATAACAGACAAACAATATCACCCAAAGGAGAGAAAGGACACAGAGAGTAAAAATATTCAAGGGAAAGGAAACCAAATGAAGAGAAAAGAAAATGGCATAATACATTTGTGTATGTATGTAAGTGTCTGTCTGTCTTTCTGTGTGTGTGTGTGTGCGTGCGTTCGTGCCTGCGTGCGTCCGTGCGCACGTTTATTTAGCAGTTGTAGAACTAGATGAACTAGATCCAGCGACAGGAGATGGAATGGAAGCACTTGGAACTTTACTAGGAGATGATGATGTCCCCGTTGCTGTTGCTGACACTGTCGTTACTGTTGACATGGATATTCTTGAACTAATCGATGATGATGTACTATATCCATCACCTTTACTAAATTTACTTGAATCAGAATTTATTGTTCGATTTGATGATTGACTAATACTCATATCCTTTAAACTATTATTCTTATCAATATTATGACTGCCACCACGAACATCATCATCATCGTCTGAGGAACGTTCTTCACAGATTGACGGCGGCCTTGGCATCACTTTCTGTGAACTAAGCGATAGCATTGTATTGGTGTCATCAGTATCAATAACAGAATGATTATCACTAGTAGTTATGTGTGAATCAGAGTTTTTCGTGTCAATTTCATCACTACTCGGTGTATTCGAGGCATAGGATGATGGCCATTGTCGTTTAGAATTCATATCAAGATGTGGTGGCATTCTTTCATTAACTTTATCAAATGCTTTTGCTTCTTCAAAACATTGAATTTTATGCGGTGTCCATGTTCCAGAAACAGCTAGAAAGACAAAAACAATAAATAAAAAGTAATTAAACAAAACCAAACGAAAAATCATTCTGAAATTTCATTAAACTCAAATCTTTCTCTTCATTAAAACAGTGATTGATAAGTAAAATCAAATAAATATATAATACAAAAAAGCGCCGGAATGGTCTATGGAAGGTCCTACGTTCGATTCTCGGTGAGGGCGTACTGCTGAAGAGTCAGTCTCAAACTAGGACGAAACAAATTTCCAGTATTCTCTTATTTTCTAAATGGCATGGTATCATTCAAATGAACTGTCGTCAAGATTTGACCGAATAGTCCTAAAATAGTTGGGCGCCGAGTGAGAAGTAGACATTTGTAAAAAATTATATTTGTAATATCCCTGAAAAAGTTCGGGCCAGATTGCCGAACGAAACGTTGAAATTACTCATTTCAATATCGCTGAGATATTACAAATATAATTTTTTGCAAATGGCATGGTATTAGTTAATGAAATCCACAACAATTAGTTTAAGCCAGCCAGCCAGCCACGTAGGGAGGTGTAGATTGGCTTCCTGACTGGTTGGGGTCCTCGGGATGGTAAAAACCAATGACGACGGATGGAGGCAATTATGGGTGATATGGCTGGCTCCAAATCGTTCTCAATGGCTAGCGCAGATGTATCCAATAAAATTCAACTATTCTTCTATATTACTATTATTTGTCCCTCACATTTCTGTTTATTGTCTCTCTTTACTCTCTTACCTTGCGTTGTGTGCACCATTTAGAGGGAGAGTGTCAACTCGAAACGATGTATAACACCGAAATGCTCTACGTTGAAACCAGTGCGGTCAGTCAGTTATTTTCCCATTGGTTCTCTAACTGATATCAGCTCCTAATCAAACATCCCACCACATCACATCAAATCTTACCAAATAAACAAAACTCCTCCAGTCAGGTGAATTTAAAACCCCATTGTACCTTATGGAGACTGGGTAATTGGTTTAAATACTGAACTTATTGTCAGTCAGAGGGTGCTGAGGTTCGAGTCCTCCTTGAAATACTTCAACCTGATCAATTGATTTCACAACAACAGTTTGGACCTAAATCTCGTACAAGAGACGCCTCATTCTGGTAACAGATTTCAAACACATCAATAAGGCAGTTAAATTGACGCAACAAAGTTGACAAAAACTATGAATGATGACGATAAAAAACTAACCAAAAGCCTCTAGCACTTCAGTCTATCAATCGACCTAAAAGACCTAGTAACTATTTATCATGATAAAGAAAAAACAGATGCGTCATCTGAAGTCAAATAGAAACAAAAAGTTAGAGGATAAAAAGTTAGAATCTCATGTCTGGAAGCCAGTGATTATGGTTTCGTTTTAACTTCACTTATATTCCTCTAATAATTCTGCCTGTCTGCGGTCAAATGTTAGAATGCTAGTCAGCCAAGAGAGAGAGGTTTGGGGGCAAATCTTGGTCAACACAGTCGCCTACTTGGTAGTTAGTCCGGAAAAGAACAAAGGTCGGGCATGAAATCAGAAACCCCATCCAATGAAAACAAGTCTGTCGCTATTGAAATTTCAAGAATACTTGAAGCTCTATTCTCTATTTGAAAGGTAAGTAATAAAAAACAGCATTTTTCGAATTACACGAAAACAACAGAAGAAGAGAAGTGAGAAAAATAGGTATACCAAATAGTATGAAGTAGAATTTTCTCTCCCATAAAGTCCAATAAGACAGTCGACTCAGACTGCACACCCAAAAAGTACAGACTAAGAGATCTGTAGGAAAGATTGAATGTAAGATGGGTTCCAATTAAGCCCAATATTAGTATGAGTCATAGTAATCGCGAAATATTTTTTTTAAAATTTATTCCCTTAACATTTCCAGTGGAACATTGAACTTCAAGCCACATCTTTGAAGTTTCCGTAGCAGAAGGGCTTATTTTTTTTACAGGATGGGGTAGCTGGCCTCATACCCGACCTTCCCTCTTTACCAGTCTTATTACTGGCATAGCGAGGTAAAGTAGGAGTGCGTCAGTGACCAGGGATCAAACTCCGGACCACACGAGGCGTGGTCGGGGAGCATTCTACCACTGTGCCACCAACACACAAGTTAATTATTATTAAACCAAAATATTCCCTCTCTCCCTTGACATGTCAGTCCCCTGATACGGACACTTCAATGATGTCCAAAGATTAACATGATGATTATTACTGTTAGCAGTGACTAGCAGTGGATTCCAAAATGAAGATTTCTCTCTATTTTAGACTTGATTAGCATTTGGGTCTCTCTGGGAACACTCTATAAAGTACATCTAGCTGATGAGCCTCATACAGAGTGAAATGAGCATTCTAGATTCCAATTCTAGTCAGTCACCACCACCTTGAACTGCAATCTGAGAATGTTTGGCATGCGATTCGCCCCCGCCAAATGTAAGATGATGGTGCTACAGGACTGGACTGGACTACATTGACTCCTAGCTTAGAAATAGGGAGTGAAGTGGTCGACCTTGTTGTTGTGAAGTTATATTGATTGAATTGGTAAAGCCATGTGTTACACATGCCTATTCGTCGTCTTCCTCGACGACCGATGTTAGCGGACATAGGATCAGGTCAAACCAAAACATGGCAGCATCAATCAATGAAATCCACAACAATTAGTTTAAGCCAGCCAGCCAGCCAGTCATGTAGGAAAGGAGTTATAGACTTCCTGACTGACTGGTTGGGGTTCTCGGGATGGTAAAAACCAGTCCAGTCAGTCAGTCACCAAAACCACAAAAAATGTACATTAGCTTGTCCTAAAGTGAAAATTATTATTAATTATTGTTTCCTTTAATTCCTAGAGGAAGATAGGGCTTCAGCCGTGCGTCTCCATTGCGTTCGGTTCTCTGCTCCATGTCTGCCCACACGTTTTCATCTACTCTTCACATCACCTCCTCCAAGTCACCCTTGAAGGACCAACTTGCCACTCCACTTTCGGGTTCCCCTCGAGCAATGGCTTGTCTAGTGATGTCACTTGATGGTATCCTCGGAGTATGGCCAATGCGTCTCCATTTTTTCCTGCCTATTTGTTTCACAATCGGTTCCTGGTTGGTTCGCTCATTGCCAGAGATCTCTGTTGCTGATCTTTTCTGGCCATCTGATCTTGAGCATTGAGCGAAGACAACTGTTAATGAAGGTCTGTAGTTTGTTTGAGATACTCTCTATGACGCGCTGGCCAAGTCTCTGATCCTTATATTAGCACTGACTTCACATTGGAGTTGAAAATCCGGATCTTATTTTTGATCCTGAGTGCTGTTGACCTCCACACAGACTTGGGCGTAGTGAAAGCTTGTCTTGCTTTTCCGATTCTTGCTTTGATATCCTCGTCAGTTCCGTCCGCCTGTAGTTGAAACGATGCTTCCCAGTTAGGTAGGTAAAAGAGGTTGTTTCTTTCAGGTTCCTTCCATTTATGCTGGCTGATTGTTGTCTGTTGTTGTTGTTCTTGTCCAGGAATCCTCATCACCTCTGTTTTCTCTATGTTCATCTGAAGTCGTATCTTTGATACTTCTTCTATCACCAACTTGTTGCTTTTCCCTAGCATATCTTCCACTTGGTGGGAAATCAGACATATATCATCGGCGAAGTCCAAGTCCTCCATACTTTTTGTGTAAGTCCATTTAATGCCTGTTCCCTCGTTGCCAGCCGCTGTCTGTCACATTATCCAATCTACTGCAATCAGGAAAATCATTGGCGATAGTAGGCAGCCTTGTCATAATATTTCCAATATCTCCAGAATTACCAATTTCCTACCAGACATCATTCATTCTCTTCATCATACAAATAACTAGGGTGAATAAAAAGTAAAACAAAACAGCAACCAATTAATCTGATCATGAAATCAATAAATTTTGAGAGACAGCTGAAGAGAGCAGTTGTATATGTGTGTGTGGGTGTGACAGATAAATAGAGAGAGAGAGGGAGAAATGGGAAGAACTGAATTGAAATGAAGATGGGAAAAATGATGGATGCAAGTCTGTTATTATTATTATTACTATTACTACTATTAATATTTTTATCAGTTCACTGTTCTTGTTTTTGTGACTTATTTTCTAATATCACACAACTTTATCTGACCTTAAGAGAGATTTAAATGAACTAACTACATGTGACAAATTATATCACAATATATTCATTTTCACTCAATTGACCTGAGAAAGCATTAGCCTGCTTTTGTCCATATACATCTCATCTCTCTACAATAATAATAACAAAAAATAATAATCATCTAACGAAACATATTTGGAATGATGATAACAGAATAACAGAGAAGACGGGGAAAATGTAATTGAAATGGTCATACAAATGGAGACAGAGTGTGTGTGTGTGTGTTTATTCCTCGTCCCACCATCACCCTCAACACTAACACCAACACCACACCCACCACACCCTTTAGAGCAGATGGGCGATGTCATTTCTTATTAGTAAAATGGTAGGAAACCAGTGGTTAAGGCTTATAACTCAGATGAAGTTCAGTTTTGAATGCTATTATAATGTCTCTAGTGTATTGAACGTTCTGAAAACACTTCTTAGAATTGCTTTATCTTATGCTCATTTTAATTACCACTAGTCTGTCTGCTTGTTTGTGTGTTTTCAACATAGAACTTTGCACTGATGTGCAGCAGTTCAAGTCGCCAACACTTGATGTAGCACACAAAGCAAGAAAAGAAAGTAGAAGAAATGCAAAATAGAAACAGCAGACAGGGATATGACACAAAACGAAAGATAATATTGAAGAACAATGTAGTTTTATTGGATATTATAAGTCACAAGGACTGGATGCATCTGCACCAGCCATTGACAACGATCACTTTGAGCCATACCACCAACTGTCTACAGCCTTCATTGGTTTTCACCGTCCCGAGGACCCCAACCGGTCAGGAAACCAGTCTACACCTCCCTACGTGGCTGGCTTGTTGGCTTAAACTAACTGTTGTGGATTTCATTGACTGGTGCCATGTTTTGGTTTGACCACCGCTAAAT